AAGGTCAAGTCCGGATATAGGGGTGTGGGGTTCCTCCCTCTTCCCCCTGTGGGGTGGTTGTGGGGTTTGGGGTTTAGCTTAAGCTTTTGAGTTTTGGGTCTACGGCTACAAGGTATAATATAAGGCTTCGAGTCGACAAGGGCTTAGAGAGAATTTGCGGCCTGCTTTAGGCTTAGAGCCTGCAATTAGGTGGGGTTTAGGGTTGGGTGTAGCGTTTTAAGTACAAGTTAATGTTGCTCAAAACAGGGGCACGCGCTGCGTTATAGGGTTTACGGCTTGCTTGCGAAGGGCTTGCGCGTGAGCCCTGGCCGCCAGCACCACCCCACCATCCAGTGGCAGCTCCAACGGCACGGCCCCCGACCCCTTTCCGCACACTGGGAAAACGCCAGACGCCTGACCATATAAGGGTTTAGGGTTTTCGGGTTTAGGATTTAGGGTTGCGTAGGGTTTAGGGTTTAGGGTTATAGGGCTTAGGGTTTAGGGTTATAGGGTTTAGGTTTTGAGGGTCTCAGGTTTTAGAGTTTACTTGTAGCCGAAAAGACCTACATGTTTAGGGTTCCGTATTATGGTTTCTAGAGGTAGTTCCCCTGTTGGGCCACAGGTAGGGTTTAGGCCACAATCTAACCTCTCTTTCCGCGCTTTGTCAATCCCAAATCTGCAGGCATTCTGGGTTCGTTTGAACGTGAATCATCTACTTCGCAACTTAAGCTTTGTGTTTCCCTGGCATCTTGTGGAAGTTTTGCAGTCGGAAGAGCGCGGTGACAAGTCATTTGGTCTATAGTCTATATATTCGTCGTGCCTCGTGGCCGACCTGGCACACCGGGTCCGGGGTTTCCCTGAATCGCCTACTGTAGAAGCTTAAATCATTACCTATACTATTGTGGGGGATTCCTGATTATAATTACAGTATGATGGGCCCCAAAAGCCTTATTCTGATTATTAAGGCCTTTGTATTACAGTATAAGCCAAAAAGTTGGAAATCCAATATCCTCAACCCAGAAGAGTAATGTATAAGGGGCCCCAGCATTATTTGGCCTTGATCCGGTTTCCAACTTTTTGGGGTTCACTGTAAGTGGTGTCCTTGCATCTTTAATGTCAGAGGCCCTCAATTCACTCAGAAGGTCTAAGACTCCATTCGTCCATGGCTCTTGAACTCAACGCTGCTGCACGGAGTGTCGGTCCTAATGTCAGTGGCTCATCGTACTACTGCTGATGGACAAAATCCTGCATGACCCTAAGGACTCTAAACTATGGGAACGCTGGATATTTTTTTCATAATGGGTAATGGATTTTGTCCATCAGTAGTATCTCGATGTGGCTGTTCCTTTTGTGGTTTTGAGGCCGGAGTGGTGATGGTGATGATGATGCCGGTGATGGCTGTCGTGATGGCGGTCTGCTGGTGAAGATGACCATGCACAGCATTGAGGGGTACGAACAGGAAGCATACCAGCTGTCTTCACTCCGCCCAACCATCGATCAGGCACCTCATCTTGGTAATGCAGCAGCATGAATAATTAGAATTGGGTTTGGCGACCAATTGTACTATAATTGTAATGAGGGCCCCCCGAAATAGTGTTGGTAATTATTGAGGCCCCTATTACGCCTTCTGATCCTAAGCTCTAAGCTCTAAATCCTCTGATCCTAAGCTCTAAACCCTGAACCCTCTGATCCTAAGCTCTAAACCCTAAAGCCTTTGATCCTAAGCTCTAAACCCTAAACCCTCTTATCCTAAGCTCTAAACCCCATGATCCGTCCTGTGACCTTCCTGCCCGTGGTAATAAGCTTCCGTACTCGGAGGTTCATGGGTAATTGTTAAGGGTTCCTTTACGGGCCCCTTTAAAGGAATCCATAGGGCTTCTATAAGTGCAACTATAGGGCTTAGGTTGGAGCTTCATGGGTCGTTACAAGTGGGGTTAGAGGTAGGATAACTAGAGCTACAACAACTCATGCAGTATAGGGAACTTTTACCCACGTATAACCGCCCATGAACCTCCAAATAAGGATGAACTTCTTTCTCGTTCTGGAAACCCCTCCAATTTCAACGGAAATTTCTTGCAAGCATCAGTCTAGGATTGGCGTGAGGCCTCTCCTTTCCGTCTGTACAGCAAACTGATGCCGGCCAGCGGCTCCAGCGCCCAGAAGAGCTTTTTCGTGCTTTTTCGTACAAAAGCCATGTGCTGGGGTCAACGTTTTGGGTCGACAGCTAAGATACTGACAGCTTTTACTTCTAGCTACGACAACACTTCGCTTGGGTTTAGGATTGCTATTTCGTTCAATCGGCCGCTTGTTTTCCATGGCCTCACAGCGAAGAGGCAGCGGCAAGCAGAGTGCCCTGTTGCATGCAACAGAACTGCCTAATCCAGAAGCAATACCCTATGCTGGCAATTTTGAGCCAGGGAAGCCAGCACCGACACTACTAGGAGGTTCATGGGTAGTAAAAAGTGGGGCTATAAGTAGGGAAGCTACAATTAAATATAACCCATATTAGGGAGCCATGGCCGCATGTATAACTACCCTAAACCTTGAATCCTAAACCCTAAACCGCCCATGAACCTGAAATCCAACCTTGGGAGGAGAAACTCTGTTTTGGAGACTCTTCGGGTCTTCAGATCGTTGAATTTGACGTAGAGCAATGGGACCACTTTACGCTTTTTGGCCAGATATATATATATATATATACATATATATATATATATATAAATATACATTCATTCATATGTATACATGTGTGTATATATATATATATATATATGTATTTATATATATATATATATGTATGTACATGTATGTGCTTTTGTTTTTTGTATGTTGCGGGCCCGGTATTGAAGAAAAGAGTAACCCTAAACTTTAAACGCTTTATTGAACTTGGGTCTCATGATGGTGGTATCTGCAGGGCGCGTCTCTACATGACCTCGCCCAGCAACGGGAGCACTCCATAGCGTCTTTGCAGTCTGAACAGTACTTGGGGGATCATTTAGGTAAGGTTAGAAGTACATTAATTGGTGTTACAAGTATTGATGCCTACCGTTCCCTTATTTACAACCGTGGTGACGAAGTCCGCCGATCCTTCAGGTACGGCAGCTGGCAAACTATGTAAAGGCTTTTTCAACAACAGCCAGCAAAAGAAAGCAGTTCCATTCCTGTCCACCTGCTTGGCATGCAAATCACTCCGGACCCCGAGGGTAGCCGAACCCATTGCACACCCCAAGCCCTAAACCTCAACCCTAAGCCAAAAAATCCTAAACCCTAAACCCTGAGCCCATAAACCCTACATCCAGAAATCCAAATCATACGACCCTTAGGCCGAAGTCCGCTTCTCCCCAAACCCTGAAACCGAGAACCCTACAGCCCTAACCCCAAGGGTCCATAGGACCACAAGAATTAGGTGCTCGGGTTTAGGATAGTAGTTATGCAGGTTACTATTTTGGAGTACATGATATTTAGATACTTGGACCCTTCGGATAAACCTTGCAACCCGAGTTCTCCATAAGAAGCTTCTGTTTCGTGTCTCTTCTAGAATGAGCTCAAGAGGTTATCAATAACGATGTTTCCATTTTGGGTCTTAGGGGCTTACAGCCCGCCAAAGACTTTGGACCTTACGGCATCGAACCGGCGAGGCAGGTGAACAGCAAGTTTGAAGGCCCGTAGGTGGCATGCATGGTCTGATCCCTACAGGGTTCGCTGCTGCCCACCAAGGTTCCTTTGTGTGGCTTTGCCACAAACACGCGAATTGCCAACATGCACACGAGCAAAATGGCCCAGTTCTCCAACACTCTACTTTGTTCTTACCTTGTTCTTGCGATGAGTATGGCAGTATGTATGAATGTAGCCGCTAAACATTTTTCTTCCTTGGGAAGCAAGAGTATGCAAACGAAACATCGGGTCCAGTATATGACCCTACCGCGCCACCGCAAGCTCTGAACATGTAGACCTAAGCTCTAAGCTAGAGGTCAAAAACAACTCATGCAACAATCAAAATTAATTTTAACCTTCAGAGAAGCAGACTGAAATCATGTCTTCCATGCTCACAGATCCCACGTCATAGCCAACCCTTAAACCCGTAAACTCCAAAAACTTGACGCCCCCCTAAAGCTTCCAAACTCGGCCAGTAAAACTGTATTCCTTCAGACCACAAGCCCCGAGTCACATATAAGGTTGCAATAATTAATTGCAACATCTTCTATAGTCCCTATTGCACTAACACAGTGCACTTTGTCATTCTACGACCATGTCCTGCCTAAGGAACCCTACACCCTAGACCCTTTTTCTACCGACTCAGGCGTCCATGATGTGGCCCCCATGGGTCTAAGGCTAGGTTCCCGAATAGTACCCTTGGGCCCTTTTCTTTTTGGATCTTCTTATGAAAACCGAATATTTTAGAAAGAAGGCTCCCCTTGGTAGAAAGGGGCTACTCAGGAACTACTGAGAGGCCCCATAGTAGTTCCTTTTTGGGGTTACCTCATAGCATTCTATATATGAACCCCAAAAAGGAACTACTTTGGGGCCTTTGGGTAGGGGTACCTTATATGGTTGTCCTTACAATAAGGGTCCTACTATTTCGGGTGCTACATTAGGGTCTCCTATTTTCGGAAACTCCCTCGTGAGGTAGAGCGATCGAAATGATGATCGATCGCGGCTTGCTTCCGTTCTAGATTACTTTCCAAGGTTTAGGCTTTCGGGTACAGAAACCCTAAAGCACCCGAAAGCCTCAACCCTAAACCCGACGACTTTTCAAGGGTTTAGGCGCTTTCGGGTTCAGTAAATGCCCAAAGCCTAGAGCATCCTGAAAACTATACCTTCAACCCCTTAACCATAAACGCCTAAAGCTGTACTCCTTGCTTGGAGGTTCGTGGGTCGTTATAAGTGGGGTTGTAAGTCCACTGCTATAGATTATAACTATAATTAGTGACCATACTCATAACCCCACTTATAACTACCCATGGACCTCACAGTACCCCTTGACCCTAAACACCGAAACCCTGTTGAACCCTTCTGCGCAGGCCGGATCATTCTGTCAGACACAAGATATAAGGGAACCGCTGCGAGCTTGGCATTCCCTTTATCGGGCTTTCTACCTAGCGGCCCAGGGGACTTAGTAAGTAGGTTATAAGTGGAGTTAGAAGTACCCTAAGCGGAGTTACCCAGTTATAACCATACTTATAACCGACTTACTAAGTCCCCTAGGCCTCCAAGTAGAGGTTAGGTTTAGAGTTTAGGTTTTAGGGTTTTACACAGGTTCCAAACGCTTGTTGCTTTGGGGGTTAAATATACCGAGGTTCCATAGCCCGCGATGCTTGTAGGGTTTGGGGTAACAAGTACGGTTTAGTGTCTCTAATCCCGCCCCTTGAAACAAGGCGATGTTGGACAGCTGCGGATGTTTGTTCCCTTTTCCCCACCCTAAACCATAAACCCTAAGCCCCTAAGCCTCAAGCTTGTGGGCAGATCTCCGCCTTTCATTGTCTATTTGAGGTCTCCCTGCGGGCATGGTGGTGTGACACTGCCTTGGTCTACGAATGTGCGGAGTCCTGTTCTTGCCACCACAATCCGTGGTGTCTCGGGCCCCGCCCGCCATTCTCCAAGCAGATCCTGTACCTCCGTTGCACAAATCAGTCCTGGTCCTGTCTTCACGGCGATAATAAGCCAATTTGAAGTCGTCCAGGCGCGCGGCGTTTGTTGCGCCCTGAGGAAGAGTTTTTGTGGTGTGACGCCAGCAGGCAAATTCGAGGTCAACTGCTTTCGTGATTGGTGTTTTTGGTCAACACATTTGTTCTTTTGCTTGTTGCCCACTTGGTGATCACTGGTGCTGCATCACTATCTGGGCACATACGCCGTATTCTGTGAGGCGCTTTTGGTGGTGTCACGCGTGGACGTGAAGTGTTGACCAATTTCGGGACCCCCCCTCCAAATAACTCGTGGGAACGATGGAGATTCTGGCAGGTGCTTGGGCGAACCCTTTGTAGGTTCTTATTATTAAGCCTGATATGGAATTTTTGGGGACCCTACGAAAAAGTAGGTTTTGGTAGGTTAAGGTTAAGGATAGGAACCCTAACATGAACCCGAATATGAAAGGTATATTCCTTAATTAAGGGGGTTTTGGGAAACTCTGGGCCAAAGCCCCAAAAAAACCAAAGCTCCTCAACCAAAGAGCCGCCACTCCTAAAGCTTAGTGGGCTGTAGAACCCTGCTTGGAGGGTCGGGGGACATAGAAACTGGTTATTTTGGGGACTTAAATTAGGGTACTTATAAGTGTACTTACTACCTACTTACCAAGTCCCCCGACCCTCCAAGTCGTAACTAGGGTCATACATAATAGGTCGCAATCGTTTCAAAATACCTATACCCCCGAACTAAGGTACTTCAAAGGTGACTGTACTAAGTCCCATACTCCCTAAACCCTAAACCAGGCTACAGTAAACCCCAGAAAGTTGGAAACCGGATTAAGGCCAAATAGTGCTGGGATTCCCTATACCTTACTCTTAAGGATTGAGGCTGTGGGGTTTCCAACTTTTTGGCTTCTACTGTAGAAGTTTCCTGTAATAGCTCCATAAACCCTAAACCCCTAAACTCTAAACCCTAAACCTCTAAACCCTAAACCCCTAATCCCTAAACCCGAAACCCCTAAACCCTAAACCCTAAACCCAAGTGGTTTCTATTCGGGCTTGGGTGTCGGTTTGAGGGTTGGGCGTAGGTTTTGGGCTCGGGGCCTGGGACTCATGATTTTTTAAAGTCTCCTTAGGAATTATTTTTCATTTTTTGCTCATATAATTTATTATAGTTCTAATAGTCTCCTTAGGAATTGTTTTTTCTTTGTTTAGGGTTTAGAGTTTAGGGTTTAGAGTTTTGGGTTTGGGGTGTAGGGCTATTTTTGTTCTTATAAATCCCCAAGCGAATATTGAAAACCATATTTTTATAATGGTTCTAAAGGAGGTATAGATTTGGCTTGGATATATGGCCATAGGGCTTTAGCTACTTGGAGGTTCGTGGGTAGTTACAAGGGGCTTTAAGTTGGCTAACTGCTACAATGTATTTTTAACAGATACTAGGGACGTCTACACCCACTTGTAAGTACCATGAAACTCCAAGCCCAAACTCTCAACACCCCATCTTCAGCGTTTAGGCTTGTTGACTGATGCCCTATCACCACTACTTCGCTTAATGCCGAGGTCGGCAGAATGCCTCGGGGTCGTTCCCGGAGTCGTTCGCGAGACGGTGCGCGGCCTTGCTTTTTGCGTTTTGGGGTTGAGGGTTGCTCTTCGGAAGATGTTTTGTACTACCGGGCCCTACACCCTAAACCCTAACCCGTTACAGGTGCCAACGAAGAGGGTAGAGGTTCACGAAGTAAGATGTCAGGGTCATCCATAGAACCCCTAAACCCTGAACTCTAAACCCAATAACCCCGAATGCAGCTTTCGAGCACATGTAGGAACCTGATTAAGAAACCCTGGGTCTATAACACCAAAATAGTCGGATTCATATAAGGAATCCTAATAAAGGCCCAATGGTTCTTAATCAGGTTCCTCCAAGTAGGGGGTCTTTCTTGTTGCACTGCCTTAGTATCGCTGCCGGGGTTGCGGCAGATCCCCGCCATCGCGGTTTGGGGTTTGAGGCTGAGGTCCTCTAACCCTAAAGCCTAGTTTTTGGGAAGAGTTTAGGCAGGCATCAGTTAGAGTTTAACTAATGAGGATGTAGATTTAGGAAACAAACGCGCAGTTTGAAGGGCTGCTTGTCCTTTGAGGCTTCTTTTCAAAGGGTTCTAATTGGCTTGTGGGTTTCCCTTGCTTGAAGGATCGTGGGACTAAGTAGCCAGGCTATGAATGAGACAACTATACTGTATAATTAAAAGTACTTATAACCCCGTCAAGCTACTTATAACCTTACTTCATGAGTCCCAATATCATGGTATCCTCCGAGTATGGAGACGCGATGCCTCTTGGTTTTGCTTTTCGGGCTCCTCAAGAGTTTGCGGTTTGGTGGCTTAGGGCTTAGGGTTTAGGGATTATGAGTTGTATGAAAATTGCGAGGGCGCAAACCCTCAAGTCCAAGCCGGAATATGGACCCTGCACCACATCCTTCAGGCTTATGTCGATGGACAAGCTAAATCGTATTCCAAATGTCCTTAACTTCTAGGTCCAATAAATCCTGAGCCCTCAAAACCCTAAGATAGTCTCTGTTTTGGGTAACCTTGTAGCATCGTAATTATTTAATCTTTTTGTTACCAGAATTGCAAGGTTATATAACCGTTTTGAGCAAGGCTACTCATATATACTCCGACCTTAATTGAAAAGATTAGACTTTCTTGGGCTAGGGTACTCAACCCCTAAGTATAGGTAGTAATCTCCAAAGCTTTGCACCTCAAGCACTGCTCCCGAAGCAACTCAAGCTTGGATGGCAGCCTAGGGAGAGCCTCGAAGCGACACCTTGGGGTCCTTATAATAAGAATCCTACCCTTATTTTCGGAAACTCCCACGTAGGGTTGGCATTAGAGTTTTAGGGTTTCGGTTTTGGGGGTTTTGGTGTTTAGGACTTTAGTGGTTTAGGGTTTCCGGCTCCTCGGCAGCGGAGATTTCGTAAAGTTAGGGATGCCATACTTAGGCGTCCAGCACGGCATATAGGGTCCATACATCAAGGTATAGCTTCACCATCCTCCACATCTTGCTGCCTTGCTTTCGCACGTAGTTCTCGTCATGCCGTGTTGCCTGGGGTTTGGGTTTAGGGTCTTTGATGCTTGGCAAGCCAAGGAAAACTGAAGTATTGAAGACATCGTTGGGAAGAGCTTGGCATTTCAATGCATGAGGCTTGTGGAAGAAGGACCACAGAGGTAAGGTATCCTGACTCAGACCCAGTCCGCATCAGCTGTACACCTACACATGTCTATATACATACATATTCATATGTATAGAGTGATGTGCGTGTGTGTGTGTGTGTGGGTGCATGTATTCACACGTGTCTGGATAGTTTGATGTAACACTGATGTATCTCAATCTACAGCACACTTGGGAGTTTCCGACAATAGGGGACCCTAATATAGTACCCTAAAAATTAGGATCCTTATTATAAGGACCCCAAAATAAGATACTCCCTAATTTTCGGAAACTCCCACTGCTCAAGTTCAGAGATGCTCCCACACCCTCGTGACAAAGATATGCTGATGCTCTTCTGCTGGCCCCACGTGAATTCAACGCGATTGTGTCTGTGTCCGTGGACATATATGGAGGTCAGATGGCTGTGGCACGAATCGGCGCGAACGGACGAGGAAATCCAGGCCATGAATCAGCCGTGGGATATGGCGGCGGCGGAAAGGGAAGGCAATTCGCAGCCCTGGATCGCATCCAGATCCAAGCAACGGAGCTGTCTTGCCGCCGTGAACGCAAATGCCGAGGTCATGCCCCGGGGGTTCCCAGACCTTCCAAAATCCCTCAGTTAAGGAGTATACCTTAAATCATATTAGGGATCCTTCTATAATTTAAGGTATATTCCTTAATTAAGGGATTTTGGAAGGTCTGGGTACAGAAATACAAAGACACGTTCGGCAACGGGACCAAGAAGGTTGAGTTGTTGACCCTTGGCAACGATTGGCTTTTGTTTTTTGCAACCACTCCGGGGGGGCTCTCTCCTATTATCAGAGAAAACCCTGCAGAGCTCTTGAGCAATTATTCAGGCTCCTGGATTGGCCTCAACGTCTCTGAAACTCTCAGAGACTCATTTCCCATATTGCTTAAAATCTGTTGGGGGTTCCTCATAGAGCCCCTTAAAAGGAACCCTTATAGTACCCTTATGGTAACCCTTTAGAGGAACCCTAAGGTACCCCTAGTTTTCGGAAACCCCCATCTGGGTCAGCAGAGGGATCCGCATTCCCGCCGATCCCCCCACCTCCTACCTGGGGTTAGGGTTTAGGGTTTAGGGTTTAGGATATAATGCCCTTATACTAGGACCCAGAGTAGGCCCTTATTCCCTTGTTTAAGGTTTAGGTTCCCTTTATAAACCCCTTTGAACCAAAAGGGGCACCCTTTTTATTTCTAGCTTATTCTTGGGTCTAGTATAGCAAGGGTATCTTATTAATCAAAGCTGTGAAGCCTTATGCAACATCCTTACGAAACCCAACAAACCCCGTAGCACCCCCGCAATAAGTCAGGGTTTTGGCAACCTCCAGTGTCGCAGGTGTAGATTGGGCGCGGGAGAAGGGAAAGACAGACAAAGAGCTGGTAGAAGAGATGCGCGCAGCCCTCAGCATGCTGCCATGAAACCTTTTCACATGCACACCCTCAAAACCCTGAAACTGAAACTTATAACCCTAATTAAGCCCTACTTGCAGGTTCACGGATCTTTAGAAGTGGGGTGTAGAAACACGGTCATTAACTATAATTACAAGGGACTTGTATCTCCACTTAGAACATCCCAGGAACCACCAAGTAACCCCGAAACCCGTGACTAAGACTCATGGGTCGAGAGGGTTACCTTGAGAGGTTTGCTGTTGAGCCCTCAGGGAAGGCATTTAATTTGCGTGTTTCTGGAAAGTAAGTAGGGGGTACCTTTTTTGTATGGATCCACTATTTAGGGTGCTATATTAACTCCCATTTTGATTCATCCCCAGCCCTAGGCAGCCATACAGCGAAAGCCCAAGCAGTTTCCTGCCTCAAGATTACCTTTGTTCTTCTTCTGCTGACTTGCAACTAGCATTGCTGACTTTGTTGCTTTGTTGAATGTTGCTGCTAGTGGCTGCAGTGGTGCTTTTCATAACTCCGTGGTCGTAACTCCTCATACTGTTGCCTGTGGTAAATCGGCGTGTAGTTCTGTTGAGATGATGTCGGCGGTGATGCTGCCCTTTGGGGCGTTGAACGTCATGGCGCGACGATGATGTGGCTGATGAAAGTCAAGCAGACGGTGTGGTGCTTCTGCCTCTCCCGATTACCTTGAAGTTGGTGGTGAATACTTGGAGGTTCATGGGTAGTTATAGCTAGCGTTATATGTAGGGTAGGTATACTTACAACCCGACATATCTTGAACAATAGACCCTAAGCCCTAAACCCTAGATGCCGGTGAGGAGGAGGTTGATCTGGAGAGGTATTTGTCTAGTTGTATACTGCTACATACTGTTGATGATACAAATCCTGCATTACCTTAAGGATCCAAAACTATAGGAGCTATGGTACATTTCATTTATGGGTAATGCAGGACTTATATCATCCACCGTACTGATACCAGGTCACTTGTGGTCGCGGGCCGAGGCTACCCTCTATTCCAAGCAGGAAACCATCCAAAATCTCCAGGTTCCTTCGAATGCCATTCCTAAGCCCAGGGTTTAGGGTACATCCGTAGAGCTCCCAAACTCTAAACCCTAAACCCTACTTGGAGGGTCGGGGGACTTAGTAACTGGTTCTTTTAGGGACTTATAAGTACCATAACCCCAATTAGGGTCCCTTTTAGGGTACTTATAAGTCTACTTACTACCTACTTACTAAGTCCCCTAAAGACCCTCCAAGTAACCACAGGCAAAGCAGACAGGGAAAAGGCAGTCTGCTCTTCCGGGAAGGCCCTCTGCTCTGAGGGGCGTGTTTTGTAGAGGGGTCAGGGGGTTAGGGTTTAGGGTTTAGAGTTAAGGGTTTAGGGTTTATAAGGGTTTAGGAGTTTAGGGTTTAGGAGTTTAGGGTTGATATAGGGTTCCTTTAAGGGATACCTTAAGGGCTTAGGAGTGTAGGGTTTAGGGTGGATTTCAGGAGTTTAGGGTTTAGTGTGGTTTCAGGAGTTTAGGGTTTATATAGGGTAGGATAGTAGGATTTTAGGGGGTGTTTCTATTGTGGCTTGATAGGTTTTAGAGCCTTTCCATCCGGATTCTCTCAGACGCGAGGAGTTTGTGTTTGAGCCGTTGAAATCGGGCCTGCAGGGGATTGAGTTTGGCAGTATCTTTGTTCTGTTTTTTTGCCACTGACCTTCACCCGTCCTTCTGCACCTTGAAAACCGGCAAACATCCTATTCAACTCTTGAAACACCAAAAACCACACTTCCACGCTCCAACCTTCGCTAAACCCCTTATCCCTAAAACCCTAAACTCCTAGACTCTAAACCCCAAACCATAAGCCCTGAACCCTAAACCCTAAATACTGACACCCCGAAATCGTTTTCAACGTGGAGGAGTACGCGAGGAAACCGGTGGGCTACAAAGCGGCCTGTGCCCTGCCGCGAGAGCAAGGTGCCAGCTGCTTGTTTTTGGGGACCCCAAAGCACATAAGCAGAATCATTCACAGGAATGTCCCTACCTTATTGGGCTTCATTATAAGAGGGGGTTAATATGGGATGTCCTTGTCTTTGTCATTGCGTATCTGCTTTTGGTGGCCCGAGTGCTAAACTGGGGGTAGGACAGGGGTTCGGGGTTTTAGGATTTCTGGGTTAGGAGTGGGATTTACGGTTCAGGATATGAGGTTTTACGGTTTGCAACTTTCCCTAAGGGGCCATGTGCCCAACTAGTAAAAACTTTGGCCTTATCGTGCTCCCTACATTGGTCCCAAAGCATATACTAGTTACTATTTGGGTGGTTGTCAAAATTATGGTCCCTTTTTGGGAACCCTAAATATTAGGTGCCGTGTTATAATAACGACCCAAACAGGGACCCTAATATTGACAACCACCCATTTGGGTAATTACATGTTTTTCGGGTTTAGGTTTTAGGATTTCCGGTTCAGGCTTCGCTTCTGGGGGGAGGATGTACTTGGAGGTTCATAAGTAGGGCCACTGTAATCGTGACCCATATCAGGGGACTTATAACCCCACTTCTAACTACCCATGAACCTCCAAGTAGGGTTCAAGATTTCAGGTTTAGGGTTCAGGATTTCAGACGCGTGGACTAAAGCACCCTAAGCTAGGATGCTCAGTAGTACCCTTATTCCCTTTCTGTAGTCCTACCTTATAAAGTTACCCAACACCAAAAAGGGCGCCCTTTTTATTCAAACTGCCAGAGCACAGGGCTCTTTGTTTATTTCCTTTCGGAAGTCATGTGGGGGTTTCCGAAAGATTTGGTCCCGATTTGGGTACCCTGAATATGACGTTCCGTATTAATAAGGACCCAGAAAGGGATCCCGATAATGACAACCGCCCATGTGGGCCCTGTCGTTAGCAGCGTCTAGCAGGAAAGGCACATTCAATTACCTTCGAATGTCCTCGAATGCCCATTAACAAGGCTCTTTTGAGCTCCCCGTTTCGCGAGCTGTTGACTCGCTTGACTCATGTTTGGGGCGATTGCTAAGCTACAATCGAAGCAGCACCAACCATCGCCTTCAAATTTGCCTTTTTAAGCCGGTGCGGGCTTAGCTAGAGTATGCGAGTTTAAGGTTTAGGGTGTTTAAGGTGAACCTAATTAGTTTTGGATTCAGCATTGTTTAGGGTTTACGCTTTAGGGTTGTTGGGAGCAACTCTTTGCATCTGCTACAGGTTTACTTTAATGGCTTTTGGCGTTTAGGGCTTGGGGATGTAGTTTTTTTGCTACGTGGCTGCTGCCCAACATGGTCTAGCAGAGGTAGTGGAGGCCGTGTAAGGGATAGGGTGTGTGGGGGGGGCTGCGGGTCAGGATCAAGTTGAGTTGTTATGCAGGGTTGAGGCCTGTTTTCTTTGGTGTTGTCGCGGTTTTAGGGATCTCCAGGTCGTGGAATTGAGGTCATACAGATTTTCTTTTCGGGAGTCGTGGTAGACGTCGTGTATCTCCTGCAGTGATGCATGCTCGGCAGTCTTGCATGAGTACCCAAATCTCTGAACACCCGTGCAGCCAGGTGCAGCCAGCCATCGGTTAATGGAAGAGGAGACGTTTGTGCCCATGAAGCAGGTTAGAAGGCCGGGCCCTCAGCAATTCCGTAGCAAGAGATCTTTGACATTGTTAATGAGGCCCCCAAGACAGTACGGCTCGTTACTTCAGCCTTATAACAAAAGCGACCCCCAAAAGCAAAAGGGGCCCTAATTTAGAGAATTATCCACATGAAGCCACAGCCAAGCCTTGAAACTCAACATCCGATGTATGTTGTGCAACTTACTGCGTCGGTTAGGGTTCAGGGTTTAGGGTTTCGGGTCTTTACGGTTCAGGGTTTCGGGTTTAGGGTTTTTAGGGTTTAGGGTTTAGGGTTTTTAGGGTTCAGGGTTTAGGATTTAGGGTTAACTCCCACCGGAACCGCGAACTACAGATCATGACCTTGCTCACTGCTGCTGCAGTGTGTCTGTGCTTGGGACGATGACTCCTTCTTTTGATGCCTTCCTTGTAAAGTCAACTTGCCGAGTGCAGACGAATCTGAAGAATTGCTATCTGATTCGAAGCCTAAATCCTCAAGCCCTAGCTTAAAACCCCAAGCCCAACATCTGCAGACCCCCCGGTGCCCTAAACCTTAAAGTCCTGCAACCCCCAACTCAAAATCTCCACACTATAGGGGCCAGAATGATGACCGATACATACTATTTTGCGGTTCCAAAACATAGTTATAGTAGAATGGGCTCCAAAGCCCTCTTCTAACTATTAAGGCCCCGATATTATAGTACCCTTTATAGATCCCTTATAGTAGCCCCTGGAGGCCCTTTAAAAGGGAACCCTATTCTAACTGTGGTTAGTAACTAAGGTTGCATGTGGGTTAACCGTGGCTATAGCTACGGGTGATGATATAAACCCTGCAGCAGAGCCTTTTAAGGGAAACCCAAAGACACCAATGGTGAACCCAAAGCAGATGAAAGATGAAGGAGAGAAGAAGAGTTTTGGTGGATGTTATTATTGTGATGGGAGTCTGTCATGCCAAGAGCCTTCCAACTACTACACCACGAGTTCGCAAGCGAATCGCGAACGGTCGTTTTGTCTGACGCTGCTGCAGACCCCGAAGCCCAAGCTGTGGCCCAATGGGTGGACGACATGGTCAACTCCATTTTTTCTCTTCCTTCTGTTGAGTTATGGTAGATTCCTTAGTATGGGTAAGCAGGGCTTATATCATCCACCGTAGTTATATCGATTAAGTGTTACCTCACATACAACCTTAGTTGCTTGGACGCTGGGCGCCTCGCCAGCGCCAGATCGCAGCGAGCCAGGAGTGCTTCGCGCAGGGACGTCAAGCCTCCTGAGCTTACGCCTTTCACACCCGAAGCGCCTCTTCTTCCAATAGTCTAGGGACATATAAGGTAATGCAGGATATATATCATCAGCCGTACTTATAACTTATAACCCCTTCCGATGCACTTATAGCATGACTTACAAATGGTGGAACATCACTATCCTCATGCCCTTAAGATAAAGTATAAGGGGATCCCAGCACTAATCATCCTAAACCCATGTTTCAACTTTCCTGGGATTCACTATGATAGGTAAACCTATAAAGCCTAACTCCCATAGCTCGACACCCTAAACCCTGGAACACTAACCCCAAACCCTAAACCCTACCTTAACCCCACATAACCTACCCTTTCAAGGACTTAGATAAGGAAACTATAATAAGGAACCCTAAAAAGCTAGGTTTTGTAGGGTTTGGTAAATCCTAAGCCCCAAACCCCAGGCCGTCCTATAACCTTACTGACAAAGTCCCATGATCCCCCAAGTAATATAGGGGCATTAATAAGTACTCTGACTATTTTGGGTATTCCTTGTTATCGTTATTGTGTAATACACCCCAAAACCCTGTTATAATTATTCAGGCCCCGATAAAAAACGGCCCACTCCCTGAACTCGGATCCTTCTGCACTCAAACGCAATCCGCAAAGGCTGGGCCGAAGCCGTTGCCATCCTGAGGGCTCTTAGGACTTGCGTTTATCTTCGTTGTGATAGTACAACACCAACAAACCCAGACCTTCCAAAATCCCTTAATTAAGGAATATACCTTAACTTATAGTAGGATCCCTAATATGATTTAAGGTATATTCCTTAATTAAGGGATTTTGGAAGGTCTGGGTATATCTTCGTTGTGATAATACAACACCAACAAAACTAAACCAAGGGTTGTTTTCAAGCATCATCTGACACTGGTTCTAAGGGCGCCTCAGAATACAGGGTCCTGAAGAAGTAGAAGATGTGCTGGCCCATGCTGCCGCATACCTATGTCGGTATTGAAAGGGGGTAGTCTAAGATAGTTGTATCACTACAGATAGGCCCAAAACCCTAAACCCCTAATTCCTAAACCCCAAACCCTAAGCCCTAAACCCCAAGCCCCTAAGCTCCGAAGCCCTCAACCTATGTGCATTACTAAGCCCGCACCACAAGGAAGCCTTGCAGGTTGCGCACTTGGATGTTCATGGTTAGTTATAAGTTTAGAAGTAGGGGTTAAAAGTCCCTTAATATGGGTTAATTTCTAATCATAGTTACCCTACTTATAACCCACTTATACCTACCTAAAACCCTAAACCCTATAATCCTGTACCCTAAACCTTATAGAACCCTTAAACGAACCTTACTTCTAACCGCACTTATAACCCATGAGCCTCTCAGCAGGCGAAGTCCGTCGCCAAGCAAGGCGGAGCAGGACTTCCGTCGCAATGTGCGAGCCTCGGGGCGCCAGCGTAGGGCTTAGAGTTCCTTAAGGGGCTCCCTAAAGGGTTCCTGAGAGGGTTCCTTAAAGGGATCGATAGGGGTTTAGAGTTTAGGCTTTAGGGGTTTTGGTTTAGGTTCAGGGTTCGGGGTGTTAGTAGCTTATAGGGTTTAGGGTTTAAAAGGTTTTGGGATGAGGGTTCTCTTCCGCACCTGCATGTAACCCTGAAAACCCTACCATTTCAAGGACGCGAGAGAAAAAGCGATAGAAGGAACACCGAAAATTTAGGTTTCCTGGAGCTACATGTACAGCCTAGCCACGTCGAAACCCTGAACCCGGAACATGAAGGCTCATGGGACTTAGTAAGTAAGGTTACAAGGAGGTTATAATTAGGATAGCCCCACAAAGGTGACTTGTAACCCCAATTCGACCCTACTTACCCAGTCCCATGACCCTTTGAACCCCAAGCCCTACCTTAACCCGGAAGAACCTACAGTTTTAAGGACTTAGATAAAGAAATCAAAATAAGGAACCCTGAAAAGGTAGGTTATTCAGGGTTAAGGTAAACCTTAAACCCTGAAACCTTACACCCTAAACCCCTCTGCGGCCCGGAGGCGCCGTCGGCTGAACATCAGGCGCGCATGCAGCAGCTGTTTGAGAAGCCGCGACCTGAGATGTGGGAATTAGGCGTACCCCGAGGGATCCTTTAAAGGGCTACTATAAGGGTACCTTATGGTTCCTTTAAAGGGTTACTATAAGGGAATTATTATGGTTCTATAAAGGGGTTGGGGTTTAGGGTTTAGAGTTTCCGAAACTTCGGGTTTCCTTTAAAGGGTTACTATAAGGGTACTATATAATAAGGGTTGCTATAAAAGTTACTGTAAGGGTACCATAAGGGTCCCTTAAGGGCTCGATAAGGTTTAGGGTTTCCGAAAGTTAGGGGCTTAGGCGATTGTGCCATAGGGATCTCATCCTTTGCTGAATTTCTGCTGATCTCATATATACATGTCATAGCCATGTACGCAATTAGACAGCAATCCTTAAGCGATGGTTACAATCAAGCCCGAAAGCAAAGCCTTAAATCCTAAGCCCTGAACTAAGCTCCAAACCCTTGAATCCTACGTTAAACTGCAAACCCTTCAATCCTTAAACCGTTAACCCCGAAAACCAAAGCACAAACCTTGGACATTAAAACAAAGAAGAGAAAACAAGTTTGCGCGCCCTGGAGTTCTAGGTTTGGTTTCCCGCTCAAGGTTTAGGGTTTAGAGTTCAGGGGCCCAGGGTTTAGGGGTTTAGGACTTCGGGTTGAGGGTTGATATAGGGTTCCTTTAAGGGATACCTTAAGGGCTTAGGAGTGTAGGGTTTAGGGTGGATTTCAGGAGTTTAGGGTTAAGGGCACAGGGGTCTTAATAGTTGGTTGTAATTACCATCCCTCGTATTTAGCCCTTATTCAGTACTGCAAGCCCAATGCCCAATGCTAATCTTTGCTGCCCTATACTACTTCTCAGACAAGATACAAACCTTGAGGGATCTTGACAGTGGTTCAGGATTTTACGAAGGTTTCGCAAGGTTGACTTACAAGTATGCAGGTTTACGGTTTATGGGTTGAGGCGATCGATCACGGCGTGCTGTACTAGAACCTACAGTAGAACATAGGAGAATTGAATGTGCAATGACAAAATATCAGGACTTACTAAACCCTGGACTAAACTGAGCCCCAAGATATTCCATTTCGAATGTGAGTGTTAGGCAGGTTCTATACTCCCGAAGCACTGCACCCCGAATCCCCGCATTGGCTAAACTGGGAATTCTCCTTCAACCAATACAACAGCATTTCATACTGTATAATATACTGACTGGTATACAATGTTTGTAGTATACGATAAAAGACTATAATAGACCATTGGGTAGTAGAACAAAACATAGTATAAGACAGTATGACTAATATAATACAATACATAGAACATAGTATGATCTAATATACTAAAATCGTATATAGCTTAGTAACATGGTGTGATAACGTAAAAGCTCCATAAAAGAATGTTTGAGGCACCATATACCCTGGTATGGCTTCGAAAAACAAGGAAGCTTAATGTAGACCCGAAGTTGTAGGATCCCATTTAATGCAAGGAATCTGCTAAGTAAATTGACCCTTTTTGTAGGAATCATGGGACTAGTACTAGGGATATGAACGAGGCCGCCATAATTGTAATCAGAGATTACCACAGTTCAGGCACTCATACCCCAATACGAATTGGTTTCACTGAGCCCCATGACTCTGCAAGTAATCTCTTGAAGCCCCGGTGTGGTAATAGCCCAAAACCCCCAAAGCCCGAAACGTCTAAACCCAAGGCCCCAAACCCTAAAAGGAATCCTTAACGGATCCGTACTTACTACGCCCTTAAAGAACCCCCGGGGCCCCTAAACCCTAAACAAGGATCCCTTAAAGGATCCCTCAAAGGAACCCCTAGGATCTCTTAAAAGGGCCCAAGAAAGCCGCCCTTAAAGGAACCCCCAGGATCCCTGATAGGAGCCCTTAAAGCCGCCCTTAAAAACCCTAAGCCCTAAACCCTCAACACTAAGCCCTTAAGGTATCCCTTAAAGGACCCCTCAAAGGAATTCTTTAAAGCAACCCCTAGGAGTAGGAGTCCTTCTTAGCAGCTGAGTAGGTAACCTTTCATCTTTTGGGGTTTATATAATCCTACCATAGTTCGAAAGGTTAACCTTTTTTGGGCTAGGATACTCAACCCTAAACCCTAAACCCTAAACCCTAAACCCTAAAACCCTAAACCCTAAACCCTAAACCCTAAACCGTGCCCTAGGAGCCCTTAAAGCCGGACTTAAGGTATGGCATGGCGAAGGGCTCAGAGGCCGGCAGGTCCGGCCAGGACATCGACGGCCCGGAAGCTTGGCCGCGGAAGGTAGGGAGTTTCCGAAAATTAGGGGGTTCCGTTAAAGGGTTCCTTTAAGGGTTCCTTAAAGGGATCTACAAGGGTTCCTTTAAAGGGCTCTATAAGGGTTTAGAGTTTCCGAAAAGTAGGGGTACCCTTATTTTGGGGGTCCTTATAATAAGGATCCTACTATTTAGGGTGGTGTATTCGGGTCCCTTATTTTCGGAAACTCCCAGTTAAGGAGTCTTAGGGTTTAGGATTCCTTTCAGGGCTGGGCTATAAGGGTCTAGGGGTTTAGGGTGTTGGGGTCTAGGGTCTAGGAATGTAGGGTTTAGGGGTTTAGGGTTTAGGGTTCCTTTAACAGGTACTATGAGGGTACTTTTCGGGTCCTTTAAGGAGTCTTTGAGGGTTCTATAGGGCTTCTGGGTTCTACTTTAAGGGGGGACTGTAGGGTTCTATAAGGGTTCTTTTGAGGTTTAGGGATTTAGGATTTAGGGTTCCTGTAAGGGGTTCATTGGGTTTCATGGGGTTCTATGAGGGATTTGGGTTTCAGATAGGGTTCTACAAGGACGGTACTGTAGAGTTCTTTCAGGATAGTATAGGGTTCTATAGGGTTTAGTAAGAGGGTTCTTTAAACTTGGGCACACCATTTGAGGCGGTTAAGTTCTACCATTTTGGTTCTTTGAGAGTTTAGGGGAGTTGTAGGACTTAGGGTACTGTAGGGTTCTACAAGGATTTAGGGTTTAGGGTTCCATGGGGTGTCTATAAGGGTACTACAGAGCTCCTGTAAGGGATTGGGACTTACTAAGTAGGGATCCGTTAAAGGGTACTTGTGGGTTCTATAAGGGTGTAGAGTTTAGGGATCTTTAGGATTTCAGAGGGTGTCTATCTAAAGGTTCATAGGGAATTATAAGGGAAGGAAATGGGGTTCTATCATCGACGGCCGACGAACTTTGCCATGGTTGGATAACATTTGTTTACTAGGGAATTGGGGCGGCTAGGGTTCCTACAGTGGGTTCCTATAAGTCAATAAGGGCTACTAAGGCTACTACAGCTATAAAAGCCAGTTGGAGAAGCTTGGTTCCTGAAAGGGCTCCTGAAAGGGTTCATTAAAACGATCTATAGGGGGTTTAAGGAGGGTTTCGTGTTTTTTTGACTAGGTTCCTCAGTAGTACCCTTTGGCCTTCTTAGTTGGGGGTCGCCTTATTCAGTCTGGGTATTAGGAAAGAGGGAAGCCTGGTGATTAAGCGCTTCTTGAGGAACCTGGATAACATCTTACATGTTTAGAAGTGTTTAGGGGTTAGGGGTCTAGGGGTTTTAGGGGTTTAGGGGTTCAGGGATTGATTTGTTAAAAGGATTGTAGGGGGCTTTAGTGTGTCTCTGCAGGGATTGGTTTCAGGCCTTCTTTAAGCGGTTGTATAGAGGTCTAGGACCTCGCTACTTGCAAGGTCCAGGGTTTAGGGTTTGAGGTGTTTGAGGTTCAAGATGAGGTCATTGTGTTTAAGGTTTAAGGATTAGTTTGGCGCCTTGGCCTTAATGCGTAACCTTGAGGTACTACAGCCTTGTGACAGTATCTACATCTCTATGGCTTTATCGACAAAACTAGACCCCCTAAACAATCGCGTAAGCCCTAAACACTGAGCCCTAAACCTGTACAAGGCCGATGACAGCCGAGCAATCGCATAAAGCCCTAATGCCTAAACCTCCAAACCTTATTAAATGGGACCTGCCTAGACCTCCCAGCTCCCCTCAAACAGGCCCTAAATAGTACCCACGAATAAGGACCACAAGGGCTCTATTTAACGCATGGACGAGTGAATATAAGAAGCCCCCCCTACACCCTACTTGAAGGGTCGGGGGCCTTAGTAATTTGAAACGCTGCGCGTCGTCCGCCTCGGCCGGCTGGCCCGGCTGTACGCGCATGCGTAAGGGTGTAGGGGGGGGAGGGGGATGACCCCACCCCAAAAAAAAGGGTGCCACCCCCCCCCCCCCCCCACCCCCCCTAAAAAATGGAAACGTGTAGATGAGCCCCAAGGTCCGGCGGTGAATTTTCGCCTTCTCCAGTGGATTTTGGTCTTCTGTAGGCAGTCCCACCCAATTTTCTTCGTTTCTGCCCCTCCGGGAATAGAGGAATCCGAATAGGAACCTCTGACCGCTTCGGCCGGGGCCGAGGCGAACTGGTTATTTTAGGGACTTATAAGTACCATAACCCCACTTAGGGTCCCTTGTAGGGTACTTATAAGTCTACTTACTACCTACTTACTAAGTCCCTGAACCCTAAACCCTATAGCACCCCTATAGAGCCCTTTAAAAGAACCCCTAGAATCCCCTTTAAAGGAGCCCCCTACTTACTTAAGTTGAAAAAGCCCACCAAACCCTATTTCAAGAAGCCCAAAGCTCCCCTAAACCCTGAACCCTGAGAGTGAGTTTACCGGTTTAGGGTTTAGGGTTTAGGTTCTTTTTTGAAAATTAAAAGAAAGAATCCTATAAGGTAATCCTTAAAAAGGAACTACGGCTGATGATATACATCCTGCAGTACCCATAATAAGGAATATACCATAACTCCCATAGTTTAGGGTCCTCAAGGTAATGCAGGATTTCTATCATCAACCCTAAAACCTAAACCCCAAAACCCTATAGATCCCTTTAAGGGAGCCCCTTAAAGGTACCCCATATAGATCCCTTTAAAGGAACCCTAGGACCCTAGGATTTATATGGGTAGTTGTCAAAATTATTGTCCCTTTCTGGGTACCTTAAATATTGGGTGCCGTATTATAATAAAGACCCAAAAAGGGACCCTAATATTGATAACCACCCATATAACCCTAAACCCTAAACCCTAAACCGTTTACAAAGCCGAAAGCAGCCAAGGAGATGATGCGCTTCGGCCGGGCGCCTGAGATTTGGACTCTCAGGGCGCCCGGGGTTCAGGGGGGGGGGGGTTTAAGGGGTTTAGGGATTTAGGGTGTTTAGGGTCTATAGGGTTGAGGGTTTAGGGGTTAGGGTTTGGGGTTGTAGGGGTTTTAGGGGGTTTAGGGGTTTAGGGGTTTAGGGTTTGGGGTTATAGGGGTTTTAGGGGGTTTAGGGGTTAGAGTTTGGGGTTATAGGGGTGTTAGGGGGTTTAGGGGTTTAGGGTTTGGGGTTATAAGGGTGTTCGGGGTGTTGGGGGCTTAGGGTCTGGGGTTTTGGGGGTGTTGGGGCTTTTGGGGGTTTAGGGTTTGGGGTCTAGGGTTCAGGGTTTAGGGGTTAGGGTTTGGGGTTTGAGATTTAGGATTTATAGGGTTCAGGCTTCATGGTTCAGGGTTTAGGGGTTAGAAGGTTTCGGGGCTGGGCTTTAAGGTTTCGGGCCTCAAACCTGACCTGTGGCCCAAGAGACCTACCTTTGTTTGGAGGAGCCTTGTATAGAAATATAATATTTAAGGAAGTTTAAAAGGTAAGTCTTTTCGGCTACAGGTACAACCCGGATTGAAATCGAGGGCTCAGGGTTTAGGATCTGTGAACGTGTGTGTGTCTACAGCGGGATCTACAGCACCCTGCTAAAGCACGGCTTCTGTAAGCGGTTTGGAAGCCCTTTGACGACGGTGTTAATACGTGGGTTATGAGCATGTGATTTGTTTAGAGCTCCTTGACGCGGTTGTATTATAGTTCTCGCATATCTCGTCGGTTTAAGGTCTGGGGTTTACAGGGCTTCAGGATGTAGAGTTTGGGATTATGGCCTTAGGTCTGGACAACTCTATCAGATAGATTGCAAGGTGTTGAAACTACGGTTGATGATTAAAATTTGCATTCTAATAAGGAATATACCGTAATTTCATGGTCTACGGTCATTAAGGTAATGCAGGATTTATATCAAAAGCCAGCTGAAGTACGCGACCATTGGCGGCTCCCACGCGAATATGGTGCTACGGTGCTTCCTGGGCAAGGCGGCAAGCACTTCTGTGGGGTGGCGGTAACGGATGGTTCCCGCCTCAGCCTGGACAAGCTGCGGGATCTTGACACTGAGTGTGAAATCCTACTACAGGGACCTTCAGAATTAGAATAGGGTTCCTAGACTATTTTGGGGGGGCTCCTTATGATAATTACCCCAGAGGGTCCAAATACACTACCATTGTGGAATGAGGTCCCCAAAACCATAACAGGGATGGTCGGGTTTGGTCCCTAATTCCATAATGGTGGTTTGTACATGGAGGGTCGGGGGACTTAGTAACTGGCTATTTTAGGGACTTATAAGTACCATAACCCCACTTAAGGTCCCTTGTAGGGTACTTATATAAGTCTACTTACTACCTACTTACTAAGTCCCCCGACCCTCCAAGTATGGACCCTCTGGGCACAGTAGAATATACCCCGACTGTTGGGATGGCTGCACAGACGGCGCAACCCCGACAACAGAGGAGCTTTGACTGCGAGGACTCGAACCATGGTGCTTTAGGGTTTCGGGTTTAGGCTTGAGGGTTAGGGTTTTAAGTTTAGGGTTTTGAGTTTAAAGTTAAGGGTTTAAAGTTTAGGGTTTTGAGTTTAAAGTTAAGGGTTTAGGGTTGCTTCCTCTCGAGCGCAGACGGAGGAATCCATCGAAACGGCCCTACTACCCCGACTACCCCTGCTACCCGACTATCCCTACCAATTACCCCTACTACCCCGACTACCCGTACTACCCCTACTTTACCCCTATGTATACCCCACTATACCCCTTCTGTACCCCTACTACCATCCCCTATACACTATCATTATCCCTACTACCCCAACTACCCTCATTCCCAACCTGGAGCTTCACCCTCCTCGCAAAGTGCAACCACAATCCCCGAACCTAATGATGAAGAGCCGTTTGAACCCCAAACCCTCACCCCTGAATCGCAAATGCCAAACCCAAAGCCCTTTGAGGTCAAGAATCCCTAAACCCCTAACCCCCCCAAGACCCGACCCCAATAAAAGGAATTTCCGAAGCCAGAAATTCTCAACGCTATCGTCATCCTCATACCCTTAAGGTAACCTGTAGGGGATGCCAGCACGAAGCATCCTAAATCCATATTCGACAAAAAGGAGTTTCCGAAAATAGGGGACCCTAATACAGTACCCAAAATACTAGCATCCCTATTGAGAGAAGGTACCCCCAATTGTTGGAAACCCCCATTTCTGGGATCCACTATAAACTTCCGAGTCGAGGTTAGCTTCTGCAATCCATCATCTGCCAAAGCCTAAACCCCAAGCCACTTCTGACATTGCGGTTTCGGGTTTAGGGGGTTAGGAATTAGGGTTTAGGGTTTAGGGCTTCAGGGTGCAGATTTTAACACCACGCCACTTCTGACACTGCGGTTTGGGGTTTTTGGGGTTTGGGGGTTTGGGGTTCTAGGGTTGAGTTTTAACCTGAGCCACTTTTGACATTGTGGTTTGGGGTTTAGGGTGTTAGGGTTTAGGGTTTTAGGGTATAGTTCAAACCTAAGCCAGTTCTGACATTGGAGATTGAGGTTTATATAGGGTTTTTGTGGTTCATATTTCGAATCCTATAAGGTAATCCCCCAAAGTCAGTCATTAGTTAATGACTATGGAGCCTAGGGGTAGCTTTAACAAGGCAACAAACACAAAAGCGCAAACACATAACACACAAAAAGCCCACCATCTGATTGAGGTTAAGAGTGCATCGGCCCCTGAATGCCGCTGTGGACCTCCGTAGGGAGTGCGCGACCTCCACACAGTCGATGCTTTCAGTGTTCGTGGCGAGTCTACTCACCGGGTTGTGGGCTTATAAGGCTTTAATATAGGGCCCTAAATAATCACCTATACGATTTTGGGGATTCCTTACTACAGTTATCTATATTAGCGCTTCTGAATGGTCTCCTAAGCGTTTTGTTAATAGGGTTGCGAGTGTGGGGTTCCGAAAGGATTTATCACAACAAAGTGTCATGTCGTACAGTTAGATGGGATTCCAATATGGCGCTATGGGCTTCATTCTGGTATGAGTGCAATTTCGGAGTCCTTATACCAGCCGTAATACCACTCAGGGTTGATTGTAATTTGTGAATTACCTTGAACACTTCTGGCTTCAGATGAGATTTTGTTTTTGTGACCTGCTTGGCTTTACGTAGCAGCAGAGTTCAGAATAGAGAAGCCCGGCTCCAACCGCTTTGGGTTTATGTACTTCTGCCACAGAAAGTCAGCCGGTGTTGGGTCAGGGGCCGCAGTAACCAGGAATGCAGGAGCCATCTCCCAAACAGCATATTCATCTGAATTGTAGAATGATGACCAATGTTATGCTTTCCCAGGTGTCTCCCATGTTTCTGAAGCCCTTCCCCTCAACTCTTGACCGACAGTAGCTCATTTGGTGGCAGCGAGGGAGGCAGCGCATCCTCAATCCGTCACCAGTCGTTGGCTTGCACTTCGGTTGAGGTCCCCAAAATTAATTGTACGGCACCCTGACAAAAAGGACCCTCAAAATGCACACCATGCAATGTAACTCCCACTTGAAACGTCCGGAGATTTCGTGTCAAAGCCAAGCCTAGCAAGTCCCGCCAGGCACGCTTTCGCACCGTCTAAACCTCTAAACCTCTGAATTCTTTGAACTCTGAACCTCTAAACCCTAAACCCCTAAACCCAAAACCTTTAAAAAGTCTATAAAAGTCTATAGCATTCCACCTGGACCTCCCAACTGCCCAGTACTAAAGGCGATCAGGGCTCTTTTTAAGCGTACTGGGGCACCCCAAGCCCCTTAACCACTACAGGCTAACACGCAAAGCCCAGAGTTCAGAAACATGAAAACCCAGAGTTCAGGGCTTTGGTTACGGATTCATTGAAGTTCTAGCCTGCAGTCGCCATCGAATCAGCATTAGGGTTTCTAGGACCCAGAGTAGGCCCTTATTCCCTTTTTTTAGGGTGTAGGTTCCCTTATAACACCCTTTAAACCAAAAAGGGCACCCTTTTTGTTCCTAGGTTACTCTTAGGTCAAGGTTTTTAAGGGTTTAGGGGTTCGGTTTATGGGAGTTTAGGATTTGAAGGTTTAGGGTCTAATCCACACGCCTCTTCAGCTGTGCAAGCTGGCAGTAGTGAAAGCCCCCTTCGTTGGCGTCTTTGATTCTGCTGCTGTCAAGTGCATAAAGCCGCTTGCAGAGGGTGCTGCGAGAAAGTAGGCTGTCCTCGCAGACTCCCATGCCCATGAGAAGGATTTCCTGAACCTCCTAATATAGGAACCTGATTTAGAAACCTTGGGCCTTTATCAGGGTTCCTTGTATTTACCCCCACTATTTTGGGTTAATTATAGGCACAGGGTTTCTTAATCAGGTTCCAACATTAGCAGTTTCAGCTGACACTCATGTAGCAAGCGGAGCGGAATGGGTTTGATCTCCTTATTGCAGTCCCTAAACCCTAAACCCTAAACCCTAAACCCTAAATCCTAAACCCTAAATCCTAAACCATAAACCCTAAACCCTAAACCCTAAACCCTAAATCCTAAACCCTAAACCCTAAACCCTAAACCTCTCTACCTATAGTAATTTAAACCTTAATGGCTTCGTGGCGATTGACGTTTTCAGCTGATCAACTTCATCAATCTTCGTGGCGACTTCATCAATCTTCGTGGCGCTAAACCGTTTGCCCGAGATTTAGGGTGGCCCTAAACCGTTCCCCCCAGATTTAGGGACCGTCGCCCAAGATTTAGGGCGAACGGTTTAGGGCCCTAAACCGTTCGTCCGAGATTTAGGGCGGTTTTTTCATCAATCTTCGTGGCGACTTCATCAATCTTCGTGGCGACTTCATCAATCTTCGTGGCGACTTCATCAATCTTCGTGGCGACTTCATCAATCTTCGTGGCGAAACCCTTGGCCCGAGATTTAGGGCCTAAACCCTTGGCCCGAGATTTAGGGCCTAAACCCTTGGCCCGAGATTTAGGGCCTAAACCCTTGGCCCGAGATTTAGGGCCTAAACCCTTGGCCCGAGATTTAGGGCCTAAACCCTTGGCCCGAGATTTAGGGCCTAAACCCTTGGCCCGAGATTTAGGGCCTAAACCCTTGGCCTAAACCCTTGGCCCGAGATTTAGGGCCTAAACCCTTGGCCCGAGATTTAGGGCCTAAACCCTTGGCCCGAGATTTAGGGCGATTTAGCTAAACCCTTGGCCCGAGATTTAGGGGCTAAACCCTTGGCCCGAGATTTAGGGCCTAAACCCTTGGCCCCGAGATTTAGGGCCTAAACCCTTGGCCCGAGATTTAGGGCCTAAACCCTTGGCCCGAGATTTAGGGCCTAAACCCTTGGCCCGAGATTTAGGGCCTAAACCCTTGGCCCGAGATTTAGGGCCTAAACCCTTGGCCCGAGATTTAGGGCCTAAACTTTTGGCCCGAGATCTAGTCTCTAAACTCTTGGCCCGAGATTTACAATAAGCGACGCTAGATGGAAACCGGCTAGGGTTTAGGAGATTTTCCTTCCTAACGTCCCAATAAGCGAATCAATTCTGCAAGAGATTTTCCTTCCTAACGTCCCAATAAGCGAATCAATTCTGCAAGAGATTTTCCTTCCTAACGCCCCAATAAGCGAAACAATTCTGCAAGAGGTTTTCCTTCCTAACGCCCCAATAAGCGAAACAATTCTGCAAGAGGTTTTCCTTCCTAACGCCCCAATAAGCGAAACAATTCTGCAAGAGTTTTTCATTCTTAAAGCTCCAATAAGCGAAGCAGTTCTGCCAGAGATTTTCCTTCCTAACGCTCCAATAAGCGAAACAATTCTGCAAGCGGTTTTTCATTGTTGATAGACAACACCTAAACAAGACGAGGATAGCAAGGAATATAAAGACTCATTGATTAACGAAGTTCCGCAGCATGGCATGATGTTTTCTTTTTGTTTTTGTAGTATCTTGCGGTTATGTGTGCTATGATTCTATAAGCTAGGAAGAAGTTGTGTCCATTGTTAACAAAAAAAGACGAGATCGTATGCAAAATAAAAAGTATTATTAAAAGAAGTTCCTAAGAAGAATCGTCTTCTACCCGAATATAAAATAAAGATTGTTATTTCATAATGTGAGGGGAACCTTTGGGCGGGTGGGGTTTTGACTTGAAATAGCTTGACTCGAAATTTCCAAAGTCAGAGAACCTGAACCCTAAACCCTAAACCCTAAACCCTAAACCCTAAACCCTAAACCCTAAACCCTAAACCCTAAACCCTAAACCCAGCCAGCTGTACTTTTATAAGGAACCCGGGTCTGATCTCAAGGCTCCCGAATTAGAACGTGTTATTGCTGTGGGAAGTCGGGAGTCAAAAGCTAGGATGCCCAGTAGTACCCTTATTCCCTTTTTGTAGTCCTAGGTTCCTTATAAAGTTACCCAATACCATCAAGAGAGGCCTTTTTATTCTTAGGTTACTGGGTATCCTAGAAAGAACGTGGGAGGAAAGGGGTCTATAAGGGCTACTATAAGGTTCCTTTAAAGGGGTCTAGAAGGGCTACTATAAGGGCTGCTATGACATGGAGGAATCAAGACACCACTGCAATATAGTAGCCCCTGCTAAACCTTAATAACCATTTCCAACTTTTACGACCCTACACTAGGTAAGGATGGTCGTATTGGGCCAAGTTCTCTGTTACGGACCTTCTGCATAAACTTTAAACCCTAATTACTCGTTAAGGGCTTTAGGATTTCAGGGGCTTAGCGGTTAAGGGTTTTTTAGGTTTTGTGCTGCATTCCTAGCTCAAGATCCCTGTTTGTTGGCCGCACAGCGTGACTGTAAACCTTGCTGTGTTGGATTTGTCGCTTCATGTAACCCCTTAAGCCATACGACCTTAGGATGTAGACTGCTTGGGGTAGATGTGAGCAAATTGTAATTCTGCAACAACCGTGCTTTCCGACCCAAACCAGAGTTTTGCAAAGTGTTGCTTGTGTTCGGGTTGAGGGTTTGTCGAGGTTGAGGAGACCTGGGCCTTTTCAAAGCTTCTTTGTCTTTCTCCTCTCTCTCCCTCCTTCTTCTTCTCATCCGTTCGCTTCTGGATTTTGTGGCACAGCAAGCATGTTGCTTCGCGGTCGGTCTTGTTGTTGCTAGTGTCACAGGCACGTTCTTTAAATTTTGCAGGTTTGGACCCGCCCAAACCTGCTTCAGACATGCCTTACCACAACAAGCTGTATAAGCCATACATGCCACAAGTCCGTAAGCCCCAACCCCCTGACCCTAAAACCTAAACCGACACCCTAAACGTTAAAGCCGATAAGCCCTAAACCCGAAAGCTCGCTGGGCCAGCACCCTTCACGGACTGTGCCATCTCACGGGTGCGCCCATCAGCTTTGCTGGCAGAGCAGGGAGGAGTTCATCTAAAAGGCAGAGTTCAGGGCTTAGGGCTTTGGGGGTTCCGGGCTTAGGGTTTAGGGCTTCAAGGCTTTAGGGTTTAGGCTTTGGGGTTGAGTGTTTAGGATTTAGGGTTTAGGGCTTTAGGGTTTAGGGGTTAGGGTTCTACGGTTCAGGCTGGCACCTCGCAAAAATCCACCCACCCGGAGACTCCAAGACGCGTTAACATAGCAGCTGGCTAGATAATCTTTAACTTTTTGGGAGTGATACAATCCTAACTTTTTTGAAAAGGTTAATTTTTTGGGCTAAGGTACTCAGCCCCTTAGTTAGTTAGTTAGTTAGTTAGTTAGTGAGTTAGTTAGTTAGTTAGTTAGGTAGTTAAGAGTTACGCCTTGGTTTTTCGGGAAATCCTCTGTCCAGCTTTAGCATATTTCTTACTTCAAGCTCTTTGCAGAGGCCGAGGGCCAGAGTCAGAGGGACTGCTGAAACTGTTCACTAAGACTTCTTTAAGGAAGTATCGTCCTCTATCCCACTCCTCCTCACCTCACTGTCTTACCTTTGGTTAGTAGGGAATGGAGGAATGGGGTACAATTATAACTACTATTACTACCATTCTTCCATTCCCTACTAACCAAAGGTAAGCACTGAGGGTCCCTATTACTGTTTGCCTCTTGCCACTGCGTCAGTCAAAGGCTGCTTGGACCCGACACCCTTTCACGGTGAAGCCTACGGCTACGAGGTGTCAGGGTTTAGGGATTTGGCTTTGTGGCGATGCCGTCACAGACCCATGCTCGGCCCACGTTACGACTATACTGAGGTACGAACTTTCGTTGTCCCTTTTTACTGTCTATCCTTTTGTTAGTGATTTGCGGTATGCTGGTTTCTACGCCCACCTCTGCGACGTTTTGGCTCCAGTCCCCACTTGCGGACTGTCCAGAAACATCCGGGCAGTCGCTCACAAGGTGCCCCGCATGCCGAATAATGCTTGTTAAGTTCAGGGTTAAGACTCTCTTGCGGTGTTGGGTTTAGGGCGCTTTGGCTTCAGGGTTTAGAGTTTCGGAATAAACTCGACTTGCAGAGTTCCCTCAGTTCAGGTTTGGGGCTCCAGTAACAGATGAATAATATTCATATCATAGATAGATATGTTAGGCCCGTAATTTAATACTAGCCCTATTATAGACTGTTACTGTATGGCGGGCAGTACCCAATGTATTGTTATCACCCCACGTATAACTACCCTGGAACCTCCGAGTATAAACTCTAAACCCTAAACCCCTAAACCCAAACTCTAAACTCCAAGCCATTACCGAACGAGGCAATGGCGGCAATCTTCAGCCCGGGGCGCGGAGCTCGCCCAGCCAAGGCCATCCAACACTATAAGCCTTGCTTAGGGTGTATGGTGAACCCCAGAAAATTGGAACATGGATTTAGGATGACTAGTGCCGGGATTCACTACAATTTTCCTTAAGGGCATGGCTTCTAGTTTAGGGGTTTCTTGGTTCGGGTTTGGGGAGGAAGGGTGTAGGGCTGAGAGTTTTGAAACTAAAACAACCCCAAACCCTGCCTGGAACCCGAAACCCTACACGCGACTAGCTATGGAAGTCAACAAGAATGAATAGGCTCTTATCCCAGTTGTTGCATTTTACTCGAATAACAGGCCAGTGTAACATGCCTGCCGCATGCATCTGTACATGTAGCTTTGAGTTTGTAGTGCACGAGCAAATCCGGTCTAGGGTTTAGCCTAAACCCTAAAACCTCAAAAGCCTGAAACGATGCACCTCGACTCACCGCGTTGAAGCCTCGAGCCCACATGACGATAAGTTTGAGGGACAGGGTTTGCGAACTTCAGGGTTTCAGTATAGGAGGCTTGATAGTTAGAATAGGGTTTTGGGGCCCATTATACTAGACTTATAATAATAAGGAACCGCCTTGGTGCTTAGGTCCCGATCTTACAAGGTTCAAGTCTCGGGGTGTGCAGGGTTCAGGCTTTCACTTTAGAGCGTTTTGCTGAGGGGGCTCTGATGGTGGCAGCGGCCGCGGCAGCTCGAGACTCAGACACTGGCTGTTGCAAGGGGTTTAGGGACGAGGGTTTAGGGGTGCGTGAGGCTGAGGGTGTAGAGGGTGTGATGTGCAGTGTATCATAGATAGGGGCCACTTTCTCTTCAGTTTTCTGTGTGTTGTTGCAGGGCATTGAGGGCTTGCAGCTCAGTTCTCCAGAGGGAAATCCAAGACCTTAAATGAGTCCACCCCTCGTAACTGCACACAAACCCTTGGTCCAAACCCTTGTTCTTTTCAGGATACATAAACTATAATACGGCTTCCTAAAACGCTTCCAAAAGGAGTTCTTTTGTTCGATAGGGTTCACGGTTTCATTGGAACGATCTACCATACTTGGAGGGTCGGGGATTTAGTAACTGGTATTTTCTAGGCGTATACGTATCGTAACCCACATTAGGGTGCCTTTGAGGGTAATTACGTATAAGTCTACTAATTACTTATACTTACGAAACCTTAAACCATAAACCAATTTGCCCCTGAACCCCAAGCCTTAACCCCTAAACCCTTCTACCTGACTAAGTCCCCCGACTCTGCAAGTCCACTTTCTGCCTCCTTACTAAGTCCCTAAACCCGAAACCATAAGGCCCTACGGTTGATGATATAAATCCTGCATTACGCATAATAAGGAATATACCATAATTCCGATAGTTTAAGGTCCTTCAGGTAATGCAGGATTTCTATCATCAACAGTAGTACCCTTGTAGAGCCCTTTAAAGGAGCCTCTACTTAGCCAGCCCCCAGTCCCTCTCTTCTTTATGAGCCCGAGGTTTAGGGTTGTTTAAGGGTTTTGGGTGGTTTTGGGTTTGGGTTTAGGTGGTTTTTGGGTTTGGGGTTTATGGATTTTCGGGGTTTGGGGTTTACGGTTTTTTGGGTTCAGCTTCTGTTGAAAACGTTGCTGGCACTATGGCTTTGTCTCCCGGATTCTGAGTAGGGAATGTGGCATTGGATCCTATGATAGGCCCTTCGGGTGCCATGTAGTCGGCCCTTTCACGCCAGCCCCCCAGTCTCTACTAAGAACCATAGAGTTGTTGCGAGGAGGAAGGCCTTAAACCCACCCACCCCAGACCGTTAACTCAGATAGAACATGTGAGAGCCTTCAAGTCTTTTGGCTGTATAATATATATATATATATATATATATATTTGGTCGAGCTTTGGAATTGTATAACATATTTTAGCAGTAACATGTTTGAAGAAGAGAGTTTAGTGGCCTTCGACCCAAAGCATCTTAAGCCTCAGCCAATACCAAGACATGGCACCAACCTAAAGCACGGCTGTGCACAGGTCCTGACCTTGTCGGCTTTCTCGAGCCAGGGCCTTGCCAAGCGTGTGTTTTGTTTAGGGTTTAGGGTCCCTAAACCCTACATAAACCCTTGAGAGTGTGTTTCGCTGTTGTTCTTCCTTTCCTAGGAGCGCTGGGAAGGTTGGAATGTCGGGTTTAGGGCCTACGTTTTGTGACAGGGGGTAGTGCCCATATAAGTCCCGTACGCGGTCTTATGGGGTTCAGGTTCAGGATGTTTCAGGGTCTTGGGTGCTTTGGGTTTGGTTCAGCCGGAAGGGTGTGATGCAGGTCTGGAGAGCCCAAACTCTCAAACGCGAAACCGAATCTCCAGATCCTACAGCCTAACGCATTACAATGCCTGACATTGGGGCCTAAATAATTAGGATAGCGTGTTGGGGCCCATTGTAACTATAATAACGAACCAACATGGTATAGGTCATCATTTAGGCCTGAACCGTAAACCCGTAACCCCTAAACCCCTCAGCCCTAAACCCTTGGATCCTAAACCCTAAACAAACCCCTAAACCGTTAGGCGATTTCCTTTACGCCGCGCGAAGTCCACTGAGGCCACGGCAGGGGTGGTCAAAGGGTTAAGAGAACCTAGAACCCCTACAGGAGTATTTAACAGTTCCTTGAAGGGTTCCTTCAAGTATGATTTAGGACTTTATTTTAAGGGCTTTGGGCTTGAAGCCCTACCCTTAAGGGTTCCTCTGCTAAAAAAACCTATGACTCCTACACACAAACCCTTATGTCGGTTACGTTTAAGGCTCTACAAATTCCTTTATGAGGTTGCTTTAAGGGCTCTCTTGAGGGCTCCAATACGTACCTTCTATCTTTGAAAGGGATCTACAGGGGTTCTGCAGGGGTTCCATAAGGTTTAGAGTTCAGCATTGGGATAGCCTTCAGGGTTTCATGTTTCATGTCAGGTTCACGGTGCCAGTCAATAGGCGAACCTACTTGTCGGGTATCATGGGGAGCTAAAGGTTAACCTTTCTGGTTATATAGGGATTATATAGGGACTATACTACCCAAAAAAGTTAAAGGTTACCTACTCTACTACTAGGCGATTGTCATCCTCCGCTGAATGAAAGACGACCCCACTCATTTGGGCCAATAGCACCGAGGACAAGATAGGCTGCATCATTGTGGCTGTTGGGGCGAACTGATACACAGAGCTAGCAAGCTTTTGCTCGAAATGTTCACGGCTTACCTAGACCCCCCAAACCTCTCTAATACACCCTAAACCCTAAACCCCTTAACCCTAAACCCTAAACTCCTAAACCGTACACCCAGATACCCACGACTAAACACCATTTCAGGATTCTGCCCTACCGGGATCCAGAGGCCGAAATCGCGAAACCCTAAACCGGAAACCGTAAATCCTAAACCCAAAAGTCTGAATGGCTTGGGCATTTTGTCAATGCTGTGGGACTTTCTCTCTCGCAGACCCTTGGCTTGGGGTTTGGAGTTTGGGGTTCAAATTTTAGAGTCGAGCTTCATGTTGACGTTCCTCCGGCGAAATCTTGGATTCCGTCTATTGTCGGCACAGAAGATTTTGCATAAGGGCTTAGGGGTTTATATGGGGTTTAAGGGTTTAGGGGTTGAGGGCTTAGGGCTACCCACGGGTGTTGGGTTTGAGTCTTAGGTGCTGGCCCAATGCGAGGGCCTGCCTCTAGTCTTTTGTATTCTAGGATCCTAACAACCCTGTAGGCTGATCATAAGCAGTACATACCCAAAGGCCCCAAAGTAGTTCCTTTTGGGGGATTACGTTATAGGATTCTAGATATGAACCCCAAAAAGGAACTTCTTTGGCGCCTTTGGGTATGACACCGTCTTGCCACTTCCTGCGACGTGACCTTGCCAACTGACTCTAATGCGTCGACCGTAGACACGTTCTGAGAGCCGAGGGGCAGGCCTGTCTGTGTGTTGCCCACCACACTGGGACGTTCATGGGCAGCTATAAGTGGGTTTATAATAAGTAGGGTAACTATACATTTAACTTACAACCCATATTGCCCTAAACCCTAAACCCTTAAACCCCTAAACCTTAAACCCTAAACCCTGAACCTCCACGGCCAAAGGCACTGAAAAACAGTTGCGGCTCTGAGGCTTTTCGTTTTGGATTGAGAGGCATCGAAATGGGAGCTTCCAAAAATTAGGGGGTCACCACATTCTGGGGTCCTTGTAAGAAGGATCCTACTATTCAGGGTATTATATTAGGATCCCCCTTTTATCAGAAACTCCCAAATCGTCGAGGGGACAGAGAGAGCGGCATCGAAATCCTTCCACGATTTCGATGCCGAACTCTCACTCTCTCTCTCTCTCTCTCTCTCTCTCTCTCTCGTGCACCGCATGGAACGACCAACTTTCGCGGATGGAGAGACCCCTTCTGGAGGCCCAGCCAGGACAGCACTTGCGGATGCTGGGATAGTAGGGGATCGGAGCCGACAAAGCCAAGACTCGTCCCAAGCAAGACGTGCTCGCTGCTGTCGGATCTCTTGCTTAGGACGAGTCCTGGCTTTGTCGGCTCCGATCTCCTTGCGGCTGTGGGTATCCGGCAGGAGATCGGAGATGAACTCGCACCAAACCAATCACACTTGAGGCCTCGATTGGTGGCAGCAGGCTGGCTTCGGGGTAGAAGCTTTTTGTAATGTCAAGCTCTTAAATCCAGCAGAGCTGAAACAAGCAAGAGGGCTTGTCGCGGAAAAACCGGCAATGCCGGTGATCGTCGCTGGGCTTCAGGCTCCCTACTCTTGATCACATAAATCCTGCATTACCTATAAGGACCCTAAACTAGGGGAATTACGGTATATTCCTTACTATGGGCAAATTGCAGGATTTATATCATCAACCGTAGTGATGCAGTCCACTTAAAGCCCCTATAACACCCCTTTAAAGGAACCCTTAAAACAACCCCTTACGACCCCCATGATACCCCTTAAAAGAAAGACCTTATGGGGGCTTTAAAGGCTTTTTTTATAGGTTCTTTTACGGCGTCCATTGGTTTCCAGAGAGCACGTCAGGCCCACGGTGCAGAGCCCAAGCACTGGTGAGACGCACGAGGCTTGCCAGGGTTTAGAGTAGAAGCCAGAAAGTTGGAACATGGCTTTAGAAGGATTCGTGGTAGGATCCCTTATAATTTACCTTAAGGGCATGAGGAGAATGATGTTCCAACTTTCTGGCTTCTACTATAGGGAAATGGGACCAGGGTTTGGGGCTCAGGAATTACAAGGTTTCGGGCGTAATTATGGGGTCTATTGTTTGTGGTGGGGGGTTTAGGGTTCAGGTATTTTAAATGAACAGCCACACAGTAATACATTTATTTCAATGAAGCTGATTTAAGGGTTTTCCCATGCTTTCTATAGAACAAGGGATATGTAAGAAGGGTGCCGGGTTTGGATAGTTGTTGTTGTATCATCAACCGTATTATGCTTTGGCCATCTTTGGGCCCAATGTACATTTGGGAGTTTCCGAAAATTGGGATCCTGATATAGAACCCTAAATAGTAGGATCCTTATTCTAAGGAGCCCAAAATAAGGTACTCCCATCTTTCGTTAACTCTCATATGTAGGGGGTACTTTAAGGCCAAAGTATCTACTATTTGGGTGCATGGACCCTTTGGGAAAGGACCGGAGAAGCAGGGACTGCTACCACGCAACAAAAGTACTGCTAAAGGGCCCGATCTCCCTTAGCAGTGACGACGTCCTGCATCATGCTCTGCAAGGAGACGTTCGAAGAACGGTTCATGCACATTTGTACATAGGGTTTTAGGTATATCCATACACCCTAAACCGTAAACAAACCTATACCCTAAACTCCAAAACCTACACCTTACACGCTAAACCATCCTCTGTCCTGCTTACTCTTTTGACCTACCTCGACTCGACGCAGCCTGCCTCTGCAAGGTCCATCATTATGACTTCCTGATCCAAACCTGGAAAAACCAGCAGGTGCTTTAGGGTACACGTATACCCTGAACACCGACTGAGACCCTGAAGATTGACTTGCGAGTTTCCGAAAATTAGGGGTACCTTATGTTGGGGTCCTTATCATAAGGATCCTACTATTTAGGGTACTATCTATTCGGGTCACCTATTTTCGGAAACTCCCACTTCAAGGCACATGAGCACCAGTATGCTTGCAGTGGGGTGCAGAGTTGTGTTGCGTAGGATTGGTTTTGATTTCTGATGTCTTCCAGCCTCCTTCGTACATCAACCTCTGGAAGCAAAACACTGCTTAAGCAAGTACCCTCGCGGGAGCTCAAAACCTCATTCCCTAAACCCCTAAGCCCTGAACATGGAATCAGGTTGTGTCCTCTACCCCGGCTTCGCAGCAGGCCATGTTGCGGTGCAGTAATGAGTTGTGTTTGGAATGTTTCCGGCTGGCCTCATGGTTTAGGCTATAGGTAGGGTGTCGGGGTTGTTGCCAGAAGTCCAGACTGTTTGGAACATACTCATCGAAACGTGCGCGCTCCTCCGGTCCAACTTGCCAGCCACCTTCAAGAGATGGGAGACATTAGCCGCAGTTTGAACCGATGGTGGAATGGGGCTTTGGGGGGGGGGGGGGGTTAGGGCTCTAAAGCCGTGTATGTTTTTGGATCTGGGGTTTGGGGCTCAGTTTGAGGTATAAGGCTTAAGGGCCAAAACTGAGAGAGAACAAGCGGGTCTGTACTTACAAGTAAAGGCTCATCACCCATCACCGTCGTTATCAGCGTCGGCGGGCAGAAAGGTGGAATAACCCTAAAGCCTTAAAGCCTAAAGCCCTGACCCTACTTACCCTTAAACCGACCCCAAAGGGCCGGAAACCCCATAAACCTTACCCAGAACCCCACAGGTAGGTAAAGTTTAGGGGCCTCACACCTATAAAAGGCTATTATCTACTTTTGGGGTGCAGGTAAACCCTACTTAGAGGGTAGAGGGTCGGGGACCTGGTAAGCATGGCAATCATTTTACAGACTTATAAGTATCATAACACCCATTACTGTCCCTTTTAGGGTACTTACAAGTCTACTTACTACCAACTTCCGAAACCCTAACCCCTAAGCCCCAAACCCGCTTACCCTTGTAAAGCCCTTCACAGCAGCCCTTAAAATCCCCTCTCAAGGAGCCCCTACTTACTCAGTTCCCCCTCTAAGCCCTGGGCCCAAGGCCCCCTCAAAGGATCGCTTAAAGAAACCCTTAAAGGAAGCCTAACCCTACTTGGAGGGTCGGGGGACTTAGTAAGTAGTATGTAGACTTATAAGTATCCTTAAAAGGGACCCTAATCGGAGTTATGGTACTTCTAAGTCCCTGAAATAACCAGTTACTAAGTCCCCCGACCCTCCAAGTAACCCTGTTCCAGCTCCCGAGGAGGGCTCCTCCTTCGCTTCAAGCAGCTCTTTGTTGCTCTTTGCCGCCCGGAAGCCCGGTTTGCTCTTTAGGACTTTACCGTCCAAAGGACCCAAAAATTAGGTATTCGGTTTTAGGATAGTTGTTATGTAGGTTCGGATATTGGAGAGTATATGACTATTTGGTACTTGGACCCTTGGGGTGAGGGTGTCGTTGGTTTTCGTTGGGAGAGGTGGGTTTAGGGTTCAGGGCAGGCTTTTGTTGTACGGAGTCATGGAGAGTTTGTTTTTTTGAGTTTTTTCGTAGACGGTCCGGTAGAGCTATACAGAAACTTTTTTTCGTGGGGGTTTAAGGGTTTTGCCTAGCTTATTCAGGCTCCTTTAGGGTGAGGGGCTCCTTGTTTTGCGTTGCTGAAAAGGCTTGAGGGTTCCTGTTGCTTAAAGGGTTTGATGGCTTCTGGTTCCCCCCTAAACCCTAAACCGTGGCTTCTTAGAGGGTTTTGGAAGGGTTCTATGGGCTTTTGAAAGATTTTTCGCGAGGGCTCCAGGGATTTCACCAAGAGCACACGCGCCGGGGTTCACATTCAGACTTTACATAGTAATCTTAGACTATTTGAGTAAACCGGCCGGAGGTATTGAATGAATGAACTGGGATGATGCTTGGAAGCTATAACGCGGATCCTAAAACTTAAGACGGAAGCCAACTACCACTGCGGCTGCAGACAGGGAATTGCATTCCACGAACACCATTGATGGGTTCTTGTCTGCACCAGTGCCCCCAACCCTAAACCCCAAACCCGCCCACACCCTAGACCTGAAACCACTGGCTGCCCTGAACCTTGAGACTTTGAGCCCTCAAGCCCTAAATGGTAAGCCCTCAGGCCTTGTAAATTACAAGCCTCCAGTTGCGCACCCTCGAACCCTAAGCTTTCAAACCCTCTACATCCTCAGGCAGTGAAGTGCACCTCTAACCCTAAACCGAACCCCTAAACCCCCAGACCTTCCAAAATCCCTTAATTAAGCAATATACCTTAAATCATATTAGGGGTCCTATTATAATTTGAGGTATATTCCTTAATTGAGGGATCTTGGAAGGTCTGGGCCGTTAAACCCTAAACCCTTACCCTTAACCCTACTCTCCTAAGACCCAACGATCCACGAGCCGCAACCCTCCCAAAGCCAAAACTCTAACCCTTCAGAAGCCCGAAAGTCCCAAGCTTTCAAGCCCGGAAACCTTCAACTTACCTTTGGTTACTTGGAGGGTCTTCAGGGGACTTAGTAAGTAGGTAGTAAGTAGACTTATAAGTACCGTAAAAGGGACCCTAACTGGGGTTATGGTACTTATCAGTCCTTAAAATAACCAGTTATTGAGTCCCCCGACCCTCCAAGTAGCAGGGAATGGAAGAATGGGTGTAATGGTAGTTAGAATTGTACCCCATTCCTCCATTCTCTACTAACCAGAGGTAAGTCAAGCCCGGTAGCAACCCTTATAGTAGGTCCTGTCATATCATCCCTCAAGCCCCGTAGCTGAAATCCCTGTACTGTAGCCCCCAAATCCTACACTCCTACATCCGAAGCCCGATAAAACCTAGTGAAACCATATAATCCATAAACCCTCAGCAACCCCTAAACCCAAAATCCCATTAGGAACCCCACCCTAACTGGAACTCGAACTCGAACTCGAACTGGAACTGTTCTAGTTCCAGTTCGAGTTCGACTCACTCCACCCGCACGACCCATTCCCAGCTCCAGTTCGAGTTCGAGTTCGAGTCACTCCACCCGCACGACCCATTCCCCTGGCACTCGGACCCCTTGCTAACCCTGAACTCGAACTCGAACTGGAACTCGAACTGGAACTGGAACTGTTCCAGTTCCAGTTCGAGTTCGAGTTCGAGTCACTCCACCCGCACGACCCATTCCCCTGGGCCTTGGACCCCTTGCTAACCCTGAACTCGAACTCGAACTGGAACTGGAACTCGAACTGGTCCAGTCACTCCACCCGCACGACCCATTCCCCTGGGACTCGGACCCCTGGCTAACCCTGAACTCGAACTCGAACTGGAACTCGAACTGGAACTGGAACTGTTCCAGTTCCAGTTCGACTTCGGGTTCGAGTCACTCCACTCCCACGACCCCTTCCCCTGGGCCTTGGACCCCTTGCTAACCCTGAACTCGAACTCGAACTGGAACTGGAACTCGAACTGGTCCAGTCACTCCACCCGCACGACCCATTCCCCTGGGACTCGGACCCCTGGCTAACCCTGAACTCGAACTCGAACTGGAACTGGAACTGGAACTGTTCCAGTTCCAGTTCGAGTTCGAGTTCGAGTCACTCCACCCGCAGGACCCATTCCCCTGGGCCTTGGACCCCTTGCTAACCCTGAACTCGAACTCGAACTCGAACTGGTCCAGTCACTCCACCCGCACGACCCATTCCCCTGGCACTCGGACCCCTTGCTAACCCTGAACTCGAACTCGAACTCGAACTGGAACTGGAGCTGTTCCAGTTCCAGTTCGAGTTCGAGTTCGAGTCACTCCACCCGCACGACCCCTTCCCCTGGGCCTTGGACCCCTTGCTAACCCTGAACTCGAACTCGAACTGGAACTGGAACTCCCCCCCCCCCCCCACGGGCTGCGCTCGCCCGGCCGGTGATCGAACTCGAACTCAAACTGGAACTCGAACTGGAACCCACCCCCCTCCGCCGAACTTATCACGTCGAACTCAAACTCGACCTCGAACTGGAACTCCAACTTCCTGGGGCCCGCTGCTACGACTGCAACTACTAGTACCAGTCCTACTACTGTTACTACTGCTACTACTACTACTACTACTACTACTACTACTACTACTACTACTCCTACTACTACTACTACTACTACTACTACTACTACTACTACTACTAGTACTACTACTACTACTACTACTACTACTACTACTACTACTACTGCTACTACTACTACTACTACGACTACGTCGAACTCGAACTCGAACTCGAACTCGAACTACTACTACTACTACTACCCCCTACTACTACTACTACTACTACTACGAACTACGTCGAACTCGAACTCGAACTCGAACTCGAACTCGAACGAGACCCCCTGCGCTCGCCCCGAACTCGCCCCCCTTCCGTACTACTACTACTACTACAACTACTACTACTGCTTCTACTACTACTCCTACTACTACTACTACTACTACTACTACTACTACTACTACT